ACACACACAGACACACACACACACAGATATACACACAGATACACACACACACAGATACACACACAGACACACACAGACAGACACATACACACACAGATACGCAGACACACAGATACACACACAGACACACACACACAAAGATACACACACAGACACAGACACACAGATAAACACACAGACACACACAGAAAAACACACAGAGATACACACACACACAGATACACACACACAGACACAGATACACACAGAGATACACACACAGACATATACACAGATACACACACAGACACACACACAGACACACACAGAGATACACACAGACACACACAGACACACACACAGATACACACAGACACACACACAGACACACACACATGCACACACAGGTGCACACAGATACACACACATAGATACACACACAGATAGATACACACAGACACACAGATACACACACACAGATACACACAGACACATGCACACATACAGACACACACAGATACACACAGACACACGCACACATACAGATACACACACACAGATACACACAGACGCAGAAATACACAGTTATACACACACGCACACACAGACACACACACATACACAGACATACACAAACACATACAGATACACACAGACACACACGCACACAGGTACACACACAAACACACACAGATACACCCACACAGACACACACACAGATACACAGATACACACACAGAGATACACACAGACACACACAGATACACACACAGACACACACACAGATACACACACAGATGCACACAGAAAAACACACAGAGATACACACACACACAGATACACACACACAGACACAGATACACACAGAGATACACACACAGACATATACACAGATACACACACAGACACACACACAGACACACACAGAGATACACACAGACACACACAGACACACACACAGATACACACAGACACACACACAGACACACACACATGCACACACAGGTGCACACAGATACACACACATAGATACACACACAGATAGATACACACAGACACACAGATACACACACACAGATACACACAGACACATGCACACATACAGACACACACAGATACACACAGACACACGCACACATACAGATACACACACACAGATACACACAGACGCAGAAATACACAGTTATACACACACGCACACACAGACACACACACATACACAGACATACACAAACACATACAGATACACACAGACACACACGCACACAGGTACACACACAAACACACACAGATACACCCACACAGACACACACACAGATACACAGATACACACACAGAGATACACACAGACACACACAGATACACACACAGACACACACACAGATACACACACAGATGCACACAGACACACACACAGATACACACAGACACACAGAGATACACACAGACACACAGAGATACACACACACACAGGCACACACAGACACACACAGACACACACACAGACACACAGATACACACAGACACACACACAGATACACACACATGCACACACAGGTGCACAGATACACAGATAGATACACAGACACACATAGATACACACACACAGATACACACAGACACACACACATACAGATACACACAGATACACACACTTACAGATACACAGACACACACACAGATACACACAGACACACGCACACATACAGATACACAGATACACACAGACACACACAGATACACAGTTATACACACACGCACAGACACACACACATACACAGACACACACAAACACACATACAGATACACACAGACACACGCACGCACACAGATACACACACAGACACATGCACGCACACACACAGATACACAGACACACACAAATACACACAGTTAGACACACGCACGCACAGATACACACACAGACACATGCATGCACACACAGATACACACACAGACACACACAGATACATACACACAGTTATACACACGCACGCACACACACAGACACACACATACATGCACAGACACACAGAGACACTCCTACACACAGACACACACCCTAGACACACAGAGGTATGTTAATGCAGGGATTAAAATATTTCAACTGAACCAGCTTGCTTTCATCTAATTTTAAAACAATTTTTCTTTCATACAACCAATTCAAAGAAACCCATATCATTGTCACATCGTTAGGTTCCATGATGTCCAAGGCCTGTCACCAATCCAAAGACACAGGCCCGAGAATGGGCGGCACAGCGTCAATGGGCCTGAGTCTGGGGGCAGTGTGAGAAGGCTGGAACATCCATCATGAGCCCGTCAGACAGTTCAAACCCTGGGATCACCTGACTCCACACTGGGCTGAGCCACTTCCCTTGTGCACCAGGCGACAGGTGGCGGCCGTCCCCGCAGCGTGGCCGCAGTGCCACCGCTGGGCTAAGAGTAGTGGCCGGAGCTCTGCTCAGGCAGCAACCAGCAGGCGCGCACGTCTCCTGTGCCCAGGGGGCCGCTGAAGGGCCATGACCCCATAACACAGTCCCCCCAGAGAATGTATTCAGAGTAGACAGTGTCAAGAACATGTATATTCTCAAATAAGTCTGCACATATAATAGTAAACATGTATATTATTTTATTTCATCTCTGAAGCATGGCTGTGTGCCCTTGTTTCCTGCAGCTCTTAAGACCGATGCCGTCAAATTACTGGGGGCAGAAGCGCGAAGTCGAAGACCTAGAACTTGACAACTTAGCACCAACTGAGGCTGGTGGATCAAGACCTTGTCTCTTCCAATGTCCACAAAGAAACGTTAGGGAAGACGAGGGACATGCATAAAGCTTCCCTCAAAGGAAAGTTGCTTTTACAAGACTTGATCCGGATTCTCTTTGAAGAAGCTGGATAATTAATTCACCATCCATGGACCAGACAGAGTCCTCATGGTCATCTGCCGACTTCTGCTGTCCACCTTCCACCCTGCTCCCAACGTCCCTCTGCAGAGCCACCAACACATCTCAGAGAGCTTGAGACTGTGGGCTCGTCCGCCATAAGCCTGTGACTCGGCAGTTTAATCCCTACAACTCCTTCTGTGTACATAGACAGACCCAAGCCACGTACGCGCCTTAGTAAGTGAGCTCAGGTACGTGGCCCAGTCAGAACCAATCCGACATGATGAGACCTACATCGGGGTTCACAGGAAGGAGGCAGGTGGTCCCTGCTGGACTTGAATGAGAGACTAGTGTCTGGGGCTGCTACAGGCATCTCTGGCCACCAGGGTGGGGTGTCCTAGACTGGTGTCAATGCAGAGGCACAGGAGGAGAACGAGGGAGAAAAACCACCCTGAAGACATCTACCCAACACATCAGTTACAGGACGCAGACTCCCCACGCGGCTGTGGCCCGATTGACCTGGGTCTCTCTCGCGGCAGAAAGGGATCCAGCGGTTCTGTGACGCGGGCAGGCAGAGCGAGGCAGGGCTGACATTCTGACTCTCCGCAAGCCCGTGGCTTCACGGGAAAGCTGGGCAGACACGTGCACACCCCGAGGGGCCACCACCCGACCCGGAGGAAGGTGCTTCCGCTGCGAGGAGATGCAGGCGGCAGCCAAATGCTCTGAGCGCGGGCGGGCGAGCCACAGAGCAGCCCTGCTGCGGCAAGGTCTCCTTTCCGTGGGGAAATGTCACAGAGAAGTGCAGGCGAGAAACCACGCTCTCTGGATGCTCACCTGCTTGCTGTGTGCTTTAGGTGTTTAAGGCTCTGGACATGCAGCCTTAAGCTAAGGGGTGCTACCGCAAACACAGCTAGAAGTGTTTACCTCGGGGGGAAAGTGGAGTGTATTATCCAAGAAAATAAAAATGAAAAAGTCTTACAACTTTATTTTAAGATAAAATTGGTTTATATTTGTTCTAAATTTAGTTTAAAAATACTACAGCTTTTGCCCCAGCCGGTTTGGCTCAGCAGTTAGAGCGTCAGCCCGCCGACCAGAGTTGTGGGTTCGATTCCGGTCAAAGGCACGTACCTCGGTTGCAGCTCAATCCCCGGCCCTGGTTGGGGTCGTGAGGGAGGCAACCGATCAATGTCTCACATCGATGTTTCTTTCTCACTCTGCCTTTGGCAGAGCTAGCATCCCTAAGCAGGTGACAAGCAGCCGTGGCAGTGACCAGAGAACACACTGCAAGGCTGGCCCAGAACAGAATTCCACTGGAGGCCAAGGCCAAGGACAACTTCTATTCTAGGCCCCGGGGTTGGGGGTTCCCCTTGAATTTCGCATACACACTGGTAAGAAAACTCTGACCTGGGGAAGGGAGATGGAATCACAGGATCTGGACTGACGGTTCCTATAACCCCTTGACGCTCACACGCGTGCTCCACGGCATCCCAGTCACCCCACGAAAGTCTCCCATAAATCCTCTAGTGCACATACAAGTGTAGAGAGGTGTGCATGAAAACCTGACCCCCACCCTGTGAGCGAGCAGCTGGGGCACGCCCGTGGATGACCCCACTCGCCCTGAAGTCAGGATGGACGACACCTCTGGTCTGCCACCCATCAGCCCACGGCAGCCCTGTGCCACCACTGATCTGTGTGTGCTCCCAACAGGCAAGCCAAACTAATATCACCACAGCTAACCCGCCTCAGAAGCCTATTTGGCGCATTCTGAAGGGAAGCAGAGGAGATGTTTAGCTTATATACAGCTTGCCTTTAACTCGTGTGCATGGGAACTAACCACATTCCTAGTGCACACCTTGGACAATCAGACAGATGCTAGAGCTGCATCACCGGCTCTCCCGAGGGCCACGGCTGGTACACCTGCGTGCTGGAAGAGGCTGTTGACAATGGCTCGTTTACTGTTTACTTTTCTGTAACGTCAGGTTTTCCTTTCCTTTCACACAAGCCCACACGCTCTGACACCTACAAACGGATGCACACGCCCTTCCCCAGCGGGACCCTCCCTTCGCTGCCGTCAGAAGCCGCGTGTCCCACGGCGACGCAGCAGCTTCCAAGCCTGAAAACGCAAGTTTTCTCTCACTTACCCGGCGTGCGGGAAACTGGCATAATTTGATGGCTGATGCTGGGAAGGGCCTTCTTTCTGATTTCCAGACTTTAAATAACAGGATCTAATTTCCCCTACAAAATCACAAAATTGCAGCAAAGAATATTACACATGTATATGTATATGATCATTTCAGCTGACATTCTTTTCAAGTTAGAGGGAACACATTTTTAACACATTGATTGAATAAAAGTCACACCCTGGCCAGTGTGGCTCGGTTGGTTGAGGGACATCCCATGTACCACAGGGTTGCTGATTAGATTCCCTGCAGGGCACGTGCCCGGCCGCTGGCTCGGTTCCCAGCAGGAGGCAGGCAGGAAGCGGCCCTTCGATGTTTCTCTCTCACATCGAAGTTTCTCTCTCTCCTTCTCCCTTCCTCTCTCTCTAAAATCAATAAAAACATATTTTTTAAATCGGCAATCTGGTCCATTTCATATATTTCTCCATAGAATGTGCAGGTTAACTAAGAAAACCTTCTTATCATACCTTTCCGATGATAACACTTAGACAAGTCTGATCCAGTTATTTATGACTTGCTCTGGATTGATAATTTGTACCATCTCTTAATTCACTTTATCTATTCTCATCGGAGCATTCTTTGTACATTCTCCCCATGGGTCAGGATGTTCTGTGTACGCTGGAACTGGGTGTTTTTTCTGTATCGTGTGATGAAAGAGGCTCGCTGAGTGTGTGGCGGTGACTGGCGGACCCCGCGGGACCCCACCACCGAACCCGCAGCCGAGCGCTGGCACCCAGTGCAGCCTGGTGACCCGCAGCAGCACGAGGGGGAGTTACTTTGCCGTCGAATAGTCGCTACAGAGGTTCAGGGTGTTGGGTGTGAGGATCAGCTCACTTTGTCAATGTAAACGGTCTCTCCCCAGGGGAGGTCTCAGGAGCTCCTTCTTCAGGGGACACAGGAACAGGACCCCCGTCTGCTGCGCGCAGCTGTGGGCAGACGGGACCCCCGGGACCGCGAGAGAAGAGCCGAGCTGGACAGGGTGAAGGTCCCTCTGCGCTCGGCGGAGGCAACGCTTCCACCTGCAAACTACTGCTCTGTGGATCGGGGACCATGTGGTGTCTTATCCACACCAGGACCTTTCTGAGCGTAAAACAGTGAGCATGAGTTGATCTATAAGGGACTTAAGCCAAGACCCACCCTCAGAAAGCCAGGAGCTGTGTCCCTGACCTCCGGACCTCTGAACTTGTCATTCAGTGGTCTCGCTTTTCTGCTTTCCTTCCCCTCCCTTTCTTTTAAAATTTGTTTCCTTTATTGATTTTAGAGAGAGAGGAAGGGAGGAGAGAGACAGAAACATCAATGAGAGAGAACACTGATCGCTGCCTCCTGCGTGCCCCCCACTGGGGAATTGGCCCCAAACCTGGGCACGTGTCCGGACTGGGAGTCAAACTGACGACCTCTTGGTGCAGGGTCAGTGCTCAACCACTGAGCCACACCGGTCGAACCTTCCCCCTCCCTTTCTTTCTTCCTTTCTTCCTTTCTTCCTTTTCTTTTCTTCCTACTACTTTAAATCCTTTTCACAATGAGGTACTTAAAAAATATATCAAGGTCATATTTTCAACATATAAACAAAAACCATTTACTAGGTACTGGCCATTGCCTTCCTGAAGTTTATCATTGGGAGGGGAAAACGTCATTAATCAAGTTATTATAAGCAGATAAATGATTATAAGGTTTAAGAGGGTCAAAGAAAGAAAAGGAGTGAGTGTTCAGCGAACATAAAGCAGGATCTGATTACCTCGGGGAGTTCAGAAAAGGTTTTCCTGAAGAACTTCCTTTAGACTTGAGGTCTGAAGGATGAATAGCACATTGTGGGCTTAGGAACACAGTGGGTGCAAAGGCCCTGAGGCAGGAGAGAGTGAACCCTATGAAAAATCATAGTACTAAGTTTTCCTGTTCCAAAGTCTAGTGCTCAAGCTAAGAGACCATGTGGAATCCTACAAAAGCTGCCAGTTTGCCCCTTCTTCTTCGTTAGCAAAGAGCTCCAAGACTCACCGTGCTCATCGATGAAGACATGCATAGCGTCCACAGAGATCTCCTCTTGCACAGACGTTTCAGGCCCACTGATGACTTGCAAGACAGAACTATCTTGTTGGGAAGTTACCCTGTAGATTATTTGTCTTTGTCTACTGCCCTGGAAACTTAACACATATAGAAAGATTCAAAAACTATTAGGAATCCCTCCTTATCCTTAACAAAGAATTAAAAGACACAGCCAGTGAGTGAGGCTGTCTCACACTCCGCACCAACGCGAGGCTCAGTAAGTAAGATGTCCTTACAGGGCTGTGATCTTGGCAGGCTCGGCGAACACGGGGCTGGTGCTAGTGTGGTCTTGACTTTGCACATCTGGTTTCCCTGGCGTGGAATTGTGTCCACTGGGCTTCTCACTTTCCAGGATTTCATCCTTTTTCTCCTGGGAGCAGTTATCTGAAAAACATTGCTTTACGTGTTAATATAAAATTAAGTAAGAAATTACTGTGAGCCCAGCCAGTGTGGCTCAGTGGATTGAGCAACGCCCCATGGACTGAGAGGTCCCAGTTCAATTCCCAGTCAGAGCACATGCCCAGGTTGTGGGCTCGATCCCCAGTAGGGGGCGTGCAGGAGGCAGCCCATCGATGTTTCTCTCTCCCACTGATGTTTCTAGCTCTCTCTCCCTTCCTCTCCCTCGAAAAGAAAATCAATAAACACATATATATTTTTTTTAAAGAAATTATTGTGAGCCCTAGCTGGTGTGGCTTAGTTGATTGGAGCACAGTCTCATACCCCAGGGCACATACACCGGTTGCAGGTTTGAACCCTGGTCAGGGTGCATGCAGAAGGCAACCAATTGATGTTTCTCTCTCATATCAATGCTTCTCTCTCTCTCTCTCTCTCTTCCTCCCTCCCTGTCTCTAAGATCAATAAAACACAAATAAAAAGAAAACATTAAAAAAAAGAAATTAGCCCTGTCCAGTTTGGCTCAGCGGTTAGAGCGTCGGCCTGCAGACCAAAGTCTCGGGTTCAATTCCAGTCAAGGGCACATATGGACCTCAGTTGCAGTTCAGTCCCTGGTCCTGGTTGGGTCGTATGGGAGGCAGCCAATTGATGTATCTCTCTCACATCAATGTTTCTCTCTCTCTCTCTCATTCTCTTTCTTTCTCCCTCCCACTCTATCTGAAGATAAATGGGAAAACATCCTCAGGTGAGAATTTTTAAAAAAGAAATTAACTTGAAAGCACTTGGACATAAGCTACCAAAACTGAAACGAGAATAGAGATAAAATCTAAATAGCTCCTAAGAATTCAGAGATAATGTAAATATATTTTCATTTTACTAACTATGTAAGTACCTAAATACATTTGAAAACAGAGTGCGTATGTATTAGAGGCATTACTTAGTATCTGTAGCACCATCTACTTCACATGCGGAGGCAGGGACTCCCTTGAAATAAATCCGGTGACCCCGGCTAACCCGGCTGAGCATCACCCACCCAGACTACTGAGGCCTGAAAGAATCATTCGTCACAAATGGACAGCATCAGAGGAAAAAGATCACATAAACAGACCCGGTTATTTTGGAGCAAGGTCCCATTTGCCATTTTAAAATCTATCTCCGAATCTAGATTTTCAAGCTAATGTAGGATTGGTCCCTTCATAAAGCAGATACTGGTAGGTATGGCTGACTTTGAACTATGTTCCTGGTTCTGTGGAAGACACAGTGAGCTGCTATGCTGTTCCTTGCCCTGGGAATACTTTAGAGTAAGAATTTCAACATCAATAGGTACAGATTTTTTTTTTTTTTTTAAATAATGGACAAAAAGGCAAGAGTCTTGCCCTGGCCGGTTTGGCTCAGCGGTTAGAGAGTCAACCCATGGACCAGAGAGTCCCGGGTTCAGTGCACGCTAAGGGCACGTACTTTGGTTGCAGTTTGTCCCCGGCCCTGATTGGGGTTGTGTGGGTGGCGACCACTGTCTCTCTCACATCAATGTTTCTCTCTCTCTCTTCCTCCCTCTCTCCCTCCTGCCCTATCTGAGGATAAATGCAAAAATGTCCTCCGGTGAGGATATAAAAAGAAGGCGAGTCTCAGCTTCCACCATTATGCAAAATGGAATCTGCCCCCAGGGTCGGCCCTCCCTTGTCTGAGGACACACTGCAGCTGTGAAGGTCACAGTGATCCCTGGATTTCTGTGACGGAAGACACCGACAGTTCTCTTCTGAGTAAATTTCACCTGACAGGACAAGTGGTCTGAACGCACAGACCCTTCGAGGCATGTCGTCCAGAAGGCCACCAAGATCTGCCTGGGCCCTGAGAAAGTAAAATCGTGTTCGCTCCCCGGGGTGACAGCCACAGCATTGTTTTCACAAAGTTCTCATCCTTAGCCCTCAAGCCACAGAGAGGCGTTGCTGGCTCCCACGGGGGTCCTGAAGACAGACATTCCCGGCACGTCTGGGGAACGACCACCAGAAGTTCTCTGGTACAGACGTGTTTGCATTTCATTTGGCAGCTTCTCAAAATTGAAGTTTTCACAGTTTTCACAAACCGTATTGGTGAGAAAGTACTATCATAACAAAGAGCTTTCTCCAGTACATGCTATGGGAAAAGGCAGAAAAGCCGTTTAGGCAGCTCCCCCTCCTGCTACATGTATTTGGAATAATTTGTTCCCATCTCTTTTTTTAAATCCTCACCCAAGGATACTTTTTTTCCATTTTTATCTTCAGATAGAGTAGGGGAGAGAGGAAGAGACAGCGACGTGAGAGAGACACACTGACTGGCTGCCTCCCGCATGACCCCGACCAAGGCCGGGAACTGAAACGAAACTGAGGTACGTGCCCTTGACTGGAATCGAACCCACAACTCTTTGGTCTTCAGGCTGACGCTCCAACCGCTGAGCCAAACCGGCCAGGGCTGTTTCCATCTCTTATTGTCTCAGTCGCCCCTCCTCTTAATTGGGTACATTACATGTGTCAACATATAGACTATCTTTTCCTTTTCCCTTTAATAAACACACTTATTGGAATGTTATAAAAATGGTACACATTTAACTGTATATAATTTAAAACTAGAAAAATAATTTAAATCACTTTTAACCCCACCATGCTGATATAGGAGCCAATTTGATAAATATCATGCTAGTCTTTTTTCTAGGCACATATATATTTTTTTAATTAAGTCATAATACAGATGTTGTTTTTATCACTGTTATATTTATCGTAAGGCACTGTAAATATTTAATAACATTAAACATTCTTCTATACCATCCCAAAATGGTAGTTATATGATATTACATTGTTTCAGTATGATTTATTGAACTAGACCCCTATTGTTATCATTTTAGTTGTTTCCATTATTCTATACTATAGATAATTCTTTAGTAAGCATCTCTGCATACACTCATAGTTATTTTCTTAGAAAGTCTAGAAGAAACTGAATATACAAATGGACAATGGCTAGACAACATACATAAAAACAGAACTCTGATCCACAATTTACAGCAACCAGCCCAAAAAAACCAACCCATTATCTATGGTAACCAGCCCAGGAAGCCAACATACTATGTACCTGTAGGAAGTCAGACTGCTATTTCTAACAAACGGTCCAGGAAACCAAATAATAACTCTTGCAAAAATCAGCCCCAAATGGCCATGACTGATTAATAATGGACAGCTTCCCTAATTTTTGTCCCTGCTTCCAGCTTAGGACCAACCAGAGAAAGTCAAACACGCTCCCCTAACCAACCAGGTAGGACGCTCTCCTCAGCTGCCTCCAGCTTCCCCAGGGCAACAGCCCTGTCGGCACACCTGGGACCTTCCCAGCACACCTGAGACCTTCCGGGCACACCTGGGACCTTCCCGGCACACCTGGGACGTTCTCGGCACACCTGGGACCTTCCCGGCACACCTGGGACCTTCCCGGCACACCTGGGACCTTCCTTCCATCCACTGCCAAGCTGGCCCTCGCCTCCGCCTGCCTGAGCCTTTGCAGGTGATGCATCGAGGGCTCTGAAGAATGGCCTTTGCCGCTCACTTGCGTGGTCGTCCTTTATTTTCAGAGTAAACCAGGCTGTATGCAGAGAAGCCAAGCTATGGTTTGAAAGTATTTGCTGAGTGTGGTTCTCCACAGCCTTGACGTTTAGAATGTCTCCCAGGCCTGCAGACAACCTGAAGCCCGTGGAGATGAGCAAGGTCAGAAACAAGGACGCAGCAGAGAGAAAAGGAGCACAGCAGACAAAACTGGGAAATGACCGATCTCAAGCATTGCTCTGCTACCAAGAAGGAGAAAGGTTAGGGAACATCCTCTAGGCTGCTCACATCACTGAACCCTGTCACGTTGTTTTACAAACACAGTCCAAATCAGATTTATAGATTAAAATAAATAATAAACTATGACTTAGTGATAAAGGAACAAGAAGACAATTAACAATCACAAAGATGTAAGATGCCACTAAAAAACCATCCAATTTGCCATTTAGCACTGCCTGCCTTCCAAGAACTAAAAGACATTGTCCTCTTTCATCCTTCAGTTAAAAACCTCTGCCCTTTCCTGGAAGGGGCATATAATTCACTCCAACTCCTCCCTCCCTGCTGTACCTACAAGTTCCCGACAATCAGGTGTGTTCGTTTCCACAGAAAACCTCAGAGCGAATTGCGGGGAGCTGCCAAGGTGGAACCAGAGGGGCCTCCCAGCTGTCCCAACATCAGAGCACGGCCAGCAGCTGCGGCCAATCCCAATACTAACAGGTGCTCCACCCCCGGGCTGACACCGTCTCATCAGAGATCTGTGCAGAAATGACGTACTCAGAAACCACAGACGTGGACATCTGAAGTGAACAGACTTTGTAAAAACCTAGTCCAGTGACGTCATCTCACCAGTGGGGACACTGAGGCCCAGAGGTATTCGGTAACCTGAAACGAAATGAATTCTACCCTCGGACAGGAAGTGGTTTATCTGTCGTGAGCGTGGAGTCTGAGGAAGCCTGTGGGGAAGCTCAGCTCTGGGGCCCGCTCAGCTCTGGGGCCCACGCAGCTAACCTGGGAAAGCCGGTGAAAATACTGAGCTGCAAAAAAGGTATGCTGACTGTACCCACGGCATACGGTTAAATGAGGACTACATGCGTTAATAAGAGAGGAGCTGTGTAATGTATTGTTCAACCGGGAGCACTTGAGAGGGTGAAGGGCAGCGCAGTTATTACATTGGCGGACGAGTGGACGAGGACCCCCTGGGGCTGGCCGATGCCCGGCCACCCTGCTCTCACATGCCGCGTGCTCAGCACCACGCCCCGTGAACCAGCAGTGTGTCTGCTCCCCGTGCTCCCCCCGTGGGGCAGCTAGGGAATTCTGCACAGGGGATCCTAATGGAACTCAACAGAAAGGTGGACTCATTTCACAGAAATCGACTTTACGATCAGCTTCCCCAAAACGTGTCTACTCTATAAAGAGACAGACGTGTGATGCGAGTTCTTGTCGGTGTGGAAAGAGAACCACTTATTTCCTTGTGAGTGAACGTCCCCACCTTCTAGGGAAGCCAAACATGCGTTTCTATGCCTTAACTTTCCCGGTGGGGGCCGTTTTAATGTGAGCTTGTCACCGCTCAGTCCTGGCACCTTCGGCAAAGATCGGTGACAAGCCAAGCGGCATACCCGAGCCCAGCAGCGGTCCCACTACTTGCACAATCAAATCCCAGAAGGCAAAAACGAAGAGAAGCATCGCCTTCCCTGTGTCTCAGGGCAGAACTGGTGTGACTCTCACCTCCGGGAAGCCCGACTTCTGTGGCCGGCTCTGCAGTGCGACTCCTTTGGCTCGGTGCCACCACCTTGGAAGTGCTGATCGATTCCAACAGGGAGACAAATTCCAGGAAGTTGGACTCGTTGGGTATTTGCCCTTCCTTCGCCTCCAGGTCAGATTTGGAAGTTGGCATTGCTTTCTCTTTATCGTCAATCATTTCTGTGGAATTCTTGCTCAAGAAGACGTCTGTGCCACTGTCCACGCTGAGGACTCGGGCGTGTCTCCTCTCCTGGCTGGTTTTACTGGACGATGGGTCGAGGTTGGCCTGGCCCTCCTTTTGCCGCTCGGACTCAGAGGCCGCAGTGGGGGTGCGTGGGGGGGCTGTTTCACAGTGGGCTCCCAGGGAAAGACTGGGGTCCTTCATGGCATTTCCTCTCTCCCCAGACTCGCAGCCAGAACACTGAGCAGAGGGTGACTCCACCATCAGTCTCTCCGGGGTCCTCCAACTCCCGCTGCCTTCAGGACACAGACCGCCTCCTCCCCCATCCTCAGACAGCTCCAGGGTGATGACAGGAATTCTCATCTGCTCCAAGTTGGGAGGACTGGCCTCCCCTAGGGTAGCGGGCTCAGCATCAGACTGTAAACCGGCTCTCTCGGTCCCCATCACCTTCAGGTGGAGTGAGCTTTCCAAGTCTGTCATGGAGCTCGGGGCACTGCTCATGGTGATGACAATTTTAATGGGTTCATGCAGACTCAGCGGGTCTCCAGGCTGAGAAGTATCAATAAGGGTAACGGCTACCTCACTGTCTGAGCAGTCCACTTGCTGGTTCGCGAGTGGGTCCACCTGCCGGGAGGCATCCCCTGGCTGGTGCTCAGGTTTGGCGATCACTGTGCTACACTGGGGCCAGCTGCCGCTCGGGCTGTCCTGGGGGGACCTGCTCTGTGGCTGTCCCCTGACGGAGCCCTGGGCATCACTCTCAGGCTCTGGAGTCAGGACAGAAGTCTCACTCCCCCAAGGCTGGAAAGAAACCTCTCTTTCGAGTAAGTCGTGCTGAGACAGAGACAGGCGTGGCAACTTCTGCAAGGCGCCTTTCTCCACGAGGCCGCCCTCGGACCTGTGGCGGAAAGGGGGCTGCCCCTGGGCCCCTCTGCCCACGACTGGCTTCCCCGGGACTGCTGATGCGGCCGTGGCTTCCGGCACAGACGCTTTAGAAGCGGGATGGCTTCCGGCTTTGACACTAGGAGCCACAGGCTGGTCTTCTGCCAGAATGACACCTGCCATCAACGAAGGCAACTTCGTTAGCGTTCGGAATGAACGGATCATAGCCTAGACCGAGGCCAACCAACAACAAAACAAAACAAAGACCCAGCAGCAACCTACGTGATCAGGTGCTTATTTGGAAAACATCACCTCCCCCTGAAAGCGCCTTGAAATCTGAAACGCAGCCGTTTCAGGGCGCGGCCTTGGGAGGCAGGCTGGCTGGTCGGAACTGCGTTTGGGCACTGCGGTCAGAGAGCTAGCTCCTTGCGCCGCTACCCAGTGGCTACATTACTCGGGCACATTACTGAATCCCTCTAACCCCAGATTTCTCAACTGTGGCACTTTGGACAGTTTGGAGCAGGGGAGCACACCTGTGGGGTCTGTCCTGTGCATGTAGGCTGTCTAGCAGCATCCCTCTGCCCTCAGTAATGACAGTGAGAAATGCCTCCAGATGTTGTCAGATGTCCCCAAGGGAGCAAAAGCCTCCAGCTGAGAACCGCAGCTCCAGCTGCAGCCTCCTTATCTGTGAAATGGGGGTCATTATACCAACCCCTTAAGGTTGCCTTGCGATCCATTAAGATGAACAAGGGAAGAATTAGCCCGAGGCCTGGCAACAGGCTTGTTGGCACCTTGACCTGAGGACTATAACCTCACACTTCTGATGTGACTCATGCATTTTCCCAAACATTTCAGACTGAATCTGCACGCGGCAGTTACTTAGGATGGGAGCTGAAATGAGCTTGTCCTCCCAGCTTCCCTGCATCTGTCAGCATCCTACCAATTCCCAAGCCTCTGAGGCTAGAAACCTTGGGGCCATCTTCTGTTTTTGTTTTTCCTTCCCTAGCCTATGGCCATTCAGTCAATAAATACCTTCAGTTTTTCCTTCATGTCTCACACATAAAGCATATTCTATGTAGTGCAAGGGTCTGCAAAGCCATAGAAAAAACAGGATAAGCAACTTCTCGTTTTCCTAAACTACTGGAGGAAAAAATAAATAATACAACTCTAGAAGTAATATAAAATATTACCTTATTAGCAAAATAAATGAGGATATTATGAAAAATGATGAAAAAATTAAGATATGATATACTTTTTAAATTAACCCTGCTGTAGGCAGATTCAGCCTGTGGCCCGGGCCCAGGAGGCCGGCCCGGAGCAGCAGGTGCAGGCTCCCTCTGCCCCGCCCTCCGGCCTCTGGAGGGGACCCCGGCCAGCTGCAGGCGCCGCTGTGTGAACTTCGTGTGTCTAAATCTCTGAAACCCAGCTAGTGCGCAATTCACTTCAGGAGTAGTAATGTAGAAAAAAGGTTTATTTTGGATTTTCAAAAAAATAAAATTTTGCACTATTTTCAATAAAGTCTACATCTCTCTTTGTAGAAGAACTGAAAAAAAAAAAAAAACAGGATTGCAGAGACAGGAAGGGGTTAACGTGGGCCCCCAGATGTTCTTTTCTAAGTCTTCTGAAGGTCATCAGAAAACAATAAAATGAAATCTTAGTGAAGAAGTAAAACAAAGATTTAGGGGGTTAAAAGAAAGTTCCCAGAAACAAAATGTGTAACAGGAAAGACAAGCAGATATGCAGAATGTGCTATAATTTCCTCTGTCATTTTTCAAGTCTGTATGTTGATGATAAATTTATTCTATTTTATACCTGCTATTATGAGCCATATGAAATGAGGGCCAGACTGGAGAAAAGACAATGAAATATGACCAATAAAATGTCACAATTTGAACGGAGACATGATATACAAATTCTGATGAGAAATAATTAAAATTAAGGGTAAAAAAAAAAATGAAGTTAAAATATAACTATGGCCCTGGCCAGTTTGGCTCAGCGGTTAGAGCGTCGGCCTGTGATCCAGGGAGACCCGGGTTTGGTTCCTGCTAGGGGCACGTGCCTTGGTTGCAGTTTGTCCCCGACCCTAGTTGGGTTGTGCGGGGGGCGGCTACTCAATGTGTCCCTTTCACGTCGATGTTTCTCTCTCTCTCTCTCTTCCTCTCTCTCCTTCCCCCTCTATCTGAACAAAAAATGGAAAAATGTCCTCAGGTGAGGATTAAAAAAAATATATATATATATATATATATAAAATAAGAACTATACCTAAGATTCATGGTTATAGTTATAAATATAAATATAACTATATAACTATGAATCTTAGGTATAGTTCTTATTTTCAATTATTTCATTGGGATTCCATTTTACAAACTGATTTTTCAGTTTACTGAGGATAACACTGTGATAAAAGATTGAAGGATGACAACAAACACTCTACCTTTGAGATCTTCCACTGTTTCCTGTGCGGGCAACTCCTGAATAAATGAAAGAGTGAAAATCAGTACATGACTCAGCGCATCGCCCATTTCCAGGCAGCCACTGTGCTTCCGCATGACGCGTGGGGGGGGCGGGGGCAAGGGACCGTCCCGCTCTGCTGCGTTCTGATGCGATGGGCCAGGACAGCAATACAAACGCATGCACCTACGTGCAGACATCCAGCTAAGACCACTGTCCTTGATAAAAGGGAGTATGGTAATTAAGCAACTAAAAAAGAGAAGGAATAATGTGCTACTTTATACCATAGTGACTAGAGCCCAATAAAAGTAATCTAGAAAAAAAGTGATTTATTGACTTTCCAAGAGACACATGTGGTTTAAGGTGGAGAGGGGGAGGGGAGGAGGGGGGAGGAAGGGAGAGAGAGGTGAAGGTCTGAAGGGGTTCTTCGGGCCAGAGTGGCAGGCTGGGCAGGCGGGTGCTCCCAACACACAACCGGTGTGTCTCCTACGGTCCAAGCACTGCCCCCAGGTCCCTTCCTCACTCTGAGATGCGTACTCCACAAGCACAAGGGCCAGGATTCACAACCGGTGTGCACACACTGCCATGGCAGGGCACATGCCTGTGCGGGCACCCAAGCCCGGCGACACTGACCAGCTGCCCGGAGGAGCGGTGCGAGCTGGAGCTCCGCCCTCTGGAGCTGCAGTGCAGCGGGGGTGTGCAGCAGCTCCGACTGGCCTCCTCCTTCGTGCCGCGGCTCGTCCGCCTGGTACTGCTGACCCAAGAGGAGACACAAAGCAGCGATATCAGCCATCAGAACTAGGGCTCTTTCCACATTAGTCCCAAGTAGTTTTTCCCTAGATTCCATTTCGTCATAATCATTGTATACAAATTGTGTTTTCAAGACAGAGTAAGCAACATTATTTTATAATAAGAAACACTGCCTTAAGGAACTCTCAGAAATAAGGGCAAGGATAGAGACGTGTTGCTTACTCGAGAAGCACTGTTAGTATTTCAGTTCTATGCAATCGATTCCTTTTGCATTAATTAACAAACACAGGTATTGGTGAGAAAGAACTCTGGTGTGCACTGGCACTGAAGACAAGCTGAAGCAAAGCGTGCCCCCGGCTCGCCTAACGCCAAGGAGTCCCAGAGCGTGGCTTAGGTCCTCTTAACGTCACTGGAGCCGTCTTGCCCACCAATGGCAGTTCTGTGCGTAAGTGTATGCTTACATGTCAGGGAGATGTATATATTTATATTGCCTATACTGACACATATTCATAGATGACGAGTAAATGAGGAAAAGGTATTTTAATCAAAATGAAAGCATTTCAATTATGAGCTGGTGCATTAATTGGAAATGCGACCTTGGGGCTTTGTGGTTGGCTGTGTGTTCCCTGCTGGCCTCTCTGTTTTTCCCGGGCCTTTCTCCCTCTCCGGAGCGCCTGCGCTGAGTCACTTCTCCCGTATCGAACATGAGGTGCAGGCGATAGCTGACCAGTTTGATTACTGCGAAGAATATAGTCACGGAGCTGCAGTAAAACAATACAGTGATGGTGTTTGGAGGAAAAGCCTAGAAAAGAGAGAAGAAAGGAAAAATTCACTTACTTATAAGAGTATCTTTGTTTTAAATCGGAAAGCAGTTTTGGGCTATTCATTGAGCATAAATTGGGCAGGATTTCAAATGACCCGTTGCATTCGTTTCCCTGTTTGCAATACCCGAGGAGGAGCTGCTATCTTTTTGTTTTCAGTCTGCCCCGTCCCCAGGTTCTGGCCCAGCACACACCACCCTGCTGACCAGCGTCTGGTGTGCAGAGACCCTCTGACAACCGACCGTCCAGTGAGCCCCCGTTTCTCCCAGTCCCGGCCACAGCCCACTCGGTGCCTCTGGTCTTAAGGGCAGAGAAAGGCCTTCGAGATGCTGTTTCCTTCATCAAAGCACAAAAGCCTTGCGGAGGACAGAGGAGAGAGGGAAGGGGGAGGTTCCCTCTCGGGGTAACACCATCAGGCGTGGCCTTCCGGAGCGGGTGATGCAGGCAAGGGGTGCAGATGGGTGGGCTGCTCCTAAAAGGAAGTGGGCCTTTCCATCGGTGACAGAGGACCTCAGCTCTGTCCACAAAGGTCGCTGCCACCCAACCGATGCCAACAGGAGTCCCCCATCTGGGTAAATGGAGAAACTTGATTCAGGTAACACGGTTGGCAAACTGGGCAAACACGCCCTCCGGTGGGAATGCCCACGAGAACAGACTAGCACGCTGTCGCATAAAAATCACATTCCCCGGGTGTCTGAGTTATTACAAACTTGGGCCGCACAGCACAGTTAGGGGGGTAGCAAGAGAGGCAGCTCACTGAGTACTCTGTGCTTCCCTACATTTCCCAGCCTCCCCTGCAGGCAGGCTGAGGCCATGGCACTAGGAGCAGAGGTGGCTGGTGCCCTTCTAAGTCCTGAGCGAGGGCCTCCTCCACTCCCCTTTCCTCTCGGTTGGTAATCTCAGAGGCTGAGTTTCCCAGACGCCCCCTGGGCAAGACGCCAGGCCCCCTTCGCCTGGGCAGCGGGGTGCCCGTGGAACGAGGCGCTCCTGACCCAAGATGGACACGTACCAGAAGTGAGAAATGAACCCTGGATTCATTGAACTGCTGAGGTTCGGGGTTCGGCCCACATGGCTGTTATTGTTGCTTAACCTAGTCAACATTGGGGATCCCATTTCCACAGGAAACCCGATTCAAATTAGACTAGAGATAAATTTGGGGGGGGGTGCTAAGGCATTAGGGAGAGAATGGAAAAGGGTGAGAGAAATACTACATGTGGATACTGGGAAGATTCATTTGGAAAAGCACCGACGTGCCACAGTGAGAGATGACTGCGGTCTATCCGCACACTGTGGCCTGGTAGCACTGAGACTGAGCAGGAAGGACGTTCGCATCTGCAGGTAACGGAGGGCTAGTGTCTGGCTGCCCAGCCGAGAACAGGTCATGGGCTCATCCTCTGCGAAGAAGCACAACACTGTGTCTCGCCCCGAGGCCCACACAGCCGCCGGCCCACACACGGTACGAGGCGTCCAGGGAAGGGGAGAGGTTTCACAACACGACAACACGGTCCACAGGCCACTTCACTGCTCCGCAGATTCCTCGTGAATCCCCTTCCGTCCAGCCTGCAAACTGCATCCAGTCTCCCCAGCCCCTGCCCCGGGGCCGTGTGACTAAGCTCTCTCCCCAAACCTGCGTTTCCAGGCCCCTTGCTGCTGACACCATTGTTTTCATTCAACAAAAGATCTCCAGCTTCCAGAATTTTCTCTCATTAGTATGAATTAGGAAGAGTTTAGGAAGGAATGTGTCACAGATGAGCAGTTTTAAATTTTTTTTTTTTAATCGTCACCTGAGGACATTTTTCCATCTATCTTCACATGGAGTGTGAGGGGGAAAGAGAGAGAGAAACATTGATGTGAGAGAGACACATCGACCGACTGCCCCCTGAACGACCCCGACCAGGGTCAGGGACCAAACTTACAACCGAGGTATATGCCCTTGACTGTAATTGAACCCGAGACTCCTTGGTCCAAGGGTCAACATTCTAACTGCTGAGCCAAATTGGCCAGGACAATTTGTTTTTCACTTATATCACAGAACACCACCACCCACCAGCCTCAATATAAGGTATATGCAGATTTTGAACAGAGATTTACTTATTCTAAGGAAAATCATAACTTTTCCTTGTTTCTATGAACTTATCATTTTAACACATTCTAATTCACAGAAGGCAACATTTTTCAAAGTGATATCCTTGGCCAAAGAAAAGCTAGACATTGTTACCTGACCCATTACTAAGGTAACTGCTAGTATCATAACTCATTTGACCGAACTTTTTCTAATATTTCATGAAAAACAACATTCTGTTACCAACTCAGCAGTTACGAGCACAGTCATTTGTATTTCTCACAGAACTGGGTACAATACGGGGTGTGACTGAGAAGTGCCCGTCCCTGTGAACACGCAGACCACTGTGTCCTGGCCCTGCTCTGGGAGGCTCCGGCTCCGGATCTCAGTCGCCATTCTTCTGCTTTTAACTTTCCTTGTGGCAGAAATACCTAAAGTGAAATTCACCATCTGAACCATCTCCAAGCGTCCAGTCGGCGGCCTTATGTACAACACTTTTGTGCAACCATGACCACCATCCACCTCCAGAAACTCTTCATCTTCCCAAACAAACTGAAAGTCTGTCCCCGCAAACCCTGACTGCCACCCCTGCCCCACAGCCCCTGGCACCCACTCTTCCACTTCTGTCTCTATCGGTCTGGTGCCTCTCGACCCCTCATATACGTGAGGACTGTGCAGTTTTGTCCCTCTGAGCGGCCTATTTCCTTAGCACACTGTCCCAAGGTTCCATGAGGGTGGGCCGGGCTCTCCTGCCCCGTGGGACGCACACGGCCGCGCCGGGGACACCCGCTCTGCTTGTCCTTCCATCTGCAGGAGGCATTCGGGTTGACGCCACCTTTTGGAGTCATGGCTCAGGGAGCTGGGACGGGTGGGCAGCCGTCTCTTCAGGAGCCTGTTCTCAGTTGTTCGGGTTGTGTGCTCCGCGGCTGCCGGGTCCCATGGCGTTCCGTGCGCTCCTCCGAGAACTGCCATCTGCTCTCCACAGTGGCCGAACCACTTCACGCCACTCTGTTGTTGTTTTTTTAACTTCAGGCTTATTAATAACTTATGGGTTATTACTTTCCATCTTTTCAGCAGCCTGGAGAGATCAATAACCGGGCTGCTGAGGACCAGCTATAAATAACTCGGAGTTCCAGCGAGAACAAGCCAGCCGAGGCTGCGGAGCACGTGGGCGGGGGATGCTCGGGGGCGCGGAGGATGCTCCAGGGCGCGGGGGATGCTCGCGGGCGCTCATCTTTGTTTCATGAAGGTCCCTCATCCATCTCTTCCACTGGCTCGTTTTAAAGCAGACTTCTGGAAATGAATATTTTCACTTTGAAAATGAAGAAGCTGCAGATCAAGTGGGTCATGGTACAGAGTGGACAAGTGCACACATCTCCTCCTACCTGGGAGTCACCTCCTAGCCACCCCAGTGACTTGAGGGAGAAACCAGAACGCAGAAAATATGTTCCGATGGCCTCTGGGCAGTCAAAGCACAGCACCGCTGGAGGGGACCGGTCCCACCCCAGTCCTCGGCTTCCGGAGGCTCATTCCCTCCCCATGCCTGGCCCCTCCCTGATTCCCGGAGGGTGCTCTGAGGACCAGGAACCGGGCGTGCCTCCTCGTGCTGTCTATCCCCTGCTGTCACAGGCGCTGGCTGGACCGAGGACGTGTGTCCGGGCGGCCTCTCCTTGCTGCAAGCCCTCCAGAGCCAGGCGCAAGTCCGAGGCTGCAGGCCTTCCACACGGCGCTGACCAAGGGAGCGAGTCTCCGCACCTCACACTCACCACGAGGGAGTCCACCCGCCCGCAGACCTAGGTCACGTTCCCAAACATAGCTTCACTGGCAATGAAGGTGACATGTGCACGCCATCTGCCGACTCCGGTCTCCCGCAGGTGGCTCAGGAGAGGGAGGGGCTCCTTGCTGGCCCATCAGAGCATCTGGAAGCTCTGTGCTCTTGAGCTAGGCTGATCCATCTACGTGGCGCAGAATAAGCCTGATGATTTTGGTTTCTAGCCCACGGCGTAAATTAGAAAGGGAAATGAGAAATGAATAAAAATAAGCATAGTAATATAAGACATGATAAGTGACAGTTTAAATAGTGTTGGAAAAGTGAAAAGAAAAAACCACTATAAAAAAGCAAGTCACCTGTGTGGTCATTTTCTGAGACACAAACAAGCCTCAGTCACCTCTGAGGACATCAACATAAAGCCATAATAAGAGATCTAGAAACACAAACACAATTTTCAATGATATTCAACATACTGCTAGAGAAGTCAAGGAAACGTACAACTCGTCCATCAATGTGGTTAGAGGTTGGGCTTTCCTGTATCAAGTGATTTGGAAAACATTGTTACTCAGAACATGTGGCCTAACAATAAGGTGCTGACCTGCCCAGCTTAACACGCACACTGGCTGTGGACACATGTCCCGTCCAGATGCTGGCAGGACTACTGTACCCGGCATCTTCCCTCGGACTGGGAGGAGCTGTCCACGGTGGGCACTCACAGCGGCTGGGGCAGACGCTGGCTGGGGAACCTCCGAGCTCACATTTCTGGAAGCCTGACCGGTTTTATGACTGTCAGAAGATTCTAGGTTATCCCCAAAATCCAGGGTGCAAACCGCGCAGTCTGAGTTGTCCTCTCTGCTCCAGAGATGAGAGCGATCCCATTCTGTTTGTGCATCTTGTTCAACTAGGAGAGATGAATTTTGTCCATCCAGCCATCCATTCTCCACTCAGCATTTGATGTAAGTGCTGAGTCCTTGTGTGTCACCTGTGACTCCCAGTGACGCGTGCAAGTAGTAAACGAAAACTCCCTGGCAGGTTGGGCACAGGTCCGTACACCACAAGTCGGGCCACAGATAGAGAAGTACAATCATTTCACTGCATTAATACATGTGAAAGAATTTACAGGTTTTCAGATCCTGTAATAGCTCCTT